AGGGGGGAGGCAAGGGCAATATACGTAACCTGAACATCTGTACCCTCATAATATGCTGAGATTAAAAAAAAAAAAAAAATTTAGTCAGAAAACTGCTCTGCTCTCTTTCATGAAGACAGAAATGGGCCCTTCCAAAGAAGATTAAAATGGGTATCAAATCCTACCACAGAAATATATCAGTCTGATATTTCTATGTGTGATCAATGAAATGGCAAATTCATGACATAAATAGTAAAAAATAAACAAAAAACTCAGACATGTGGGATATCCTATAATCAGATAATTCAACAAATAAGGTACTTTAATTGAAAATTAAATTAGATTATTTAAGTGATATAAAAATTTAGAAAGATTATGAATCTAACAAATTCAGTTTTAAAGAAATTTCAGAGAAGTAGTTATTAAATTCAGTTTTAATGAGATCATACTTTATTAACTGGGACTACTCTCTAAAATCCTTTTGATTATACCATAAAATAATACCTCCTCCACATTAGAATTTTATAGTCTAAGTCTAAGCTGAAAATTTCAATGTGTAGAAAATCCAAGAAACATCAAACACTATTAAAGCTTTAACCAACATTATACCTTCTCTAGATGTAAAACTAGAAAAACTTATACTACTTTACTGCTAAATAAGAGGTAAAAACAGTAATTAACTTAGAACGTAAACAATAAACCAAGGTGTATAGCCCAATTAAAGTAAATGCAATATATTTAAATATCTTTAGTAACACCACTAAGGTATTTAAAATCTCTTTCCAGGTATCTTAGGAAAGAAGATTAAAAATGTTAACAGGCTCCTCCCTCCCCAAGTAGCCTATGAACTCACCATCTGTAAAATTGCCCCGTACAGCCGCAGGAGCACTTTCCGAGGTTCGTCGCCAATGGTGGCTGTGTTATCAGGCAAGGAGCACTGGAACAGCATGTTACTGAGGCCACCTCTGTCAGAAAGAAGAGGACATTAAGTGTCTATATTTTGAAGGTAAGCCAAATCACTCTTCTTGGATAAATACAGATGAAAAGTCAGAGTTACATAATAACTGTTCTCATCTTAAGTCTTGATTTATTCTCTCAGGATACTTGGAACATAAATGATTAACTCCACACTCTTCAGATTAATTCCATGAGTAACATTAAAAACAGATACATTCCCAATCTGTTTAGATTTCTAACGTAGAGTTGGGGAAGAGTTTTTAAAATTTTTTTTTACATTGCCTGTGTGCACCTCCACATGGCATTTGCCTCTAGAGAACAAGGACCAAAGAGAAATCTCCTCAACGCTGAGAATGGGGGGAGGGGGAGGGGGCATCCCAGATGCATCCTTGCAATCTCATTTTTCTAGAATCCAAAATTTCTATCATATTCCCATAATTACCAGGCTAAAATCTTAAGGCAATGTTTAAACGTTCTCCTCCGAGGCTTTCCACTTGACATGTCATTCCAAGATGTACCCCTTCTACGTCGGTGTTAGTAAAATTTGTCAACCAATTCTGACTAACAGCCTTTTCAAAAAACTTGTAACATTAACTGGTTATTGGGAATTTCAGGTGAAATAATACCCTCAAGTCACATTCAACTCTGAATACCCAATTCCCTATATTAAATTCTCTATGTTGAAATACCTAGTGTTGTTTCCATTTTCTTGCCAGAGTCCTGACCGGCACACATGGCCAAAGCTTCAGCAGCATCTTGGATGAGAATGAGAGCCACATCCTAGGAATAGCTGAGCAGTTGGCTGAAAGGAGCCTGAATCCCCATCAAACCATGGAGTTGCTATAACTGCCCAGACCTGGCCACTTTCAGACTTCTTTAACACAACAGGGAAATAAATATCTATGTTCTTTATTTTAAGCCACTGTTAGCTTGGGGTTTTCTGTTATGAGCAGCTACGGCTAGTACTGACCCAGATTAGTACCACATACACTTTACTTGTATTCTCTCAATCTGGAAACTCCTCCTTACTCTTCTCTACTACCTAAAAACTACCTACCTTTTAAGACCAAGTTCAAAGTCCAACCTCCTCAATGAAACTTTTCCCATCTTCACTGTCAGCTCCTTGAAAGCAGAGATAATGTCTAACTTTTAATTCTCAAGGCCCAGTGGCTCCAAATGGTGGAATGCTCAATAAAGATTTTCTAAAAGTAATAATAACCAGCACCACTCTGTTCCACTGACATCACCCTTCTCTAAATCCCTAGTTATATTTAATTTAATAACTGGTTATCTTGTATGGCTTTCTAATAGGTTTAGTGAGATAGCCTTGGCTCCCTAGATAGACCGTAAGCTCTCTAAGGGACAGTCCCATCTTCCTGTAGGAAGGCATCATGCTAAGAGAAAGACACAGAAAGCCATGGATTGAAATCCCAGTTGTGCCACTTACTAGCCATGCAGTCGTGCCTGTCACTAAACCTCGCAAATTCACTCCTCTGTAAGAGGAACACTTCATTTAGTCATTATGAGAGCTCAGAGTTATGGATCCCTTGTCCTGCAATGTCCTAAATAACGGACATGGATTAGCTCATTTCATCCACCCAACAATCATACAAGATGGAACTGACATTGATCTCCAGGGTGGATGCTGGTATCACCTCCATTTTATACATGAGAGAACTGAGGCACACAATAAAATCACACAGCATGTAACGAGCTAAGCCAGGACCCAAATCCTGGCATATGGCTCCCAAGTCCTTGCTTTAGCTACTATTCTGTGCTAAGAGACAAGAGGCAAAGCTGGAGAGCACCAAGTGCCACATTAAAGATGTAGGAGGTGCTACATGAGCTGCAAAAACTACCCACAAAAAAGCCTTACATCAGGACTGCTCTACAAAAACTTCCATGAAACAAATGTCTTACACTTCCCTGTCACTGCTATAACAAATTACCACAAACTCGGTGGCTAAAACACCACAAATTTGTTATCTTACATTTCTGGAGTTCAAAAGTCTGAAAAATAGGTCTTACATGGCTAAAATCAAGTTGTTGGCAGGGCCACAGATCAAAAAGATATACACCCCATTCGATATACACCCCATTTCAGGAAACACATACAAAATAACTGAAAACATATTCTGACATGGCTAATGAACTTTTAAAAATAAGGTTACTGGGGGAAATGGGAAGTTAGTGCTTAATGGGGACAGAGTTTCAGTTTGGGAAGATGAAAAAGTTCTGGAGATGGATGGTGGTGATGGTAACAAAACAGTGCGGATGTACATGATGCCACAGAACTATACACTTAAAAATGATTAAAATAGTAAATTTTATGTTGTTTGTTTGCTTATTTATTTAT